GCAAAGGTCGTTTGTTATTGATGATGTCTTTGATGTACCTTGCGTAGGAAGGTACATGTAAGATGTCCATTAATAGGACACTCACATGTATCTTCTCTATCATTTCCACAAAATGAGCGAATTGCTCATCCACAGCCTGCTTCCTCTTCCTTGTGCGAAATGGTAAGCAGCTTGTATCGACAAAGTCTTGCAGTGCCATTTCATCATCCTCTTGATCTTTTTGTGTTTTCGTTGATGGTGAAGGTCCTTCCTCTTGTTCACCTTGTGCTTTTCCTGCTTTATTGTTAGGATTTGGTGGATCACGAGTGGACTTACCACCCCTCGTGGTCACCGCATTAACTTTTTCAAAGGAATTCTCGGGTTGCCCTGGGATCTTCCCTTCATTATTAACGGGAATAGCAGCAGCAATCTGAGCTAACTTTGTTTCTATCATCTTGTTAAAGCTCAACTGATTTTTGATAGAGGAAGATAAACCTTCTATCTTGGTATTTATGTTTTCAAGCATTTTATCATTATATGTAAGCTTTTTGGTTAAACTTTCATTTAATTTAGCTTGACCTAAAACTAGGTCTTTCAAGGAAGGTTGATTTGAATTGAAATTCAAATTGTAATTATTATTATCTCCTTTTGGGCAGGACTGATTATTCCACCCGTTATTGTTACCTTGTCAGAACCCATTGTTGATGTAGGCTGCGTCTTCATGGGTCTTGGGGCAGACATTCCCCGAGTGTCCGACCTCTCCACAGACTTCGCAAGTCATTTGCGAGTCCATGGCCTTGACGGTGCCCTTCATTGCTTCCTTGACGGTGGCACGCTCGTGAACTCTTTTCAATAATAGATCCATTCACTACAAGGTTTTACCCCTGATGCAACGACCTAAAAGCGTTGCAATATACCAAAAATGGTTGCGAAAGACAAAATTGCAACAAAAAATTTTCGTTGGCAGGCGTTGCCATAGTAACCATGGGGAAAGGTTTGCCCAATGACTCTCTTTGGTGTTGGAATAGATTTTCCCCTATTGCAACACCAGAAATACCTATTGCCACGAACCCAAAGTGTGGCAATAGGTGCACTAGCAACGATATTTGGTGTTGTAATAGACCTTATTGCCACGCATCAATAGCATTGCAATAGATGGACCCTCTATTGCCACGCTATCTCGGTGGTTGCTATAGGTGGAACCGTCTATTGCCACGATAAATATTTGGTTGCTAGAGGTAGCCTCTCTATTGCAACGATCAATACTGGTTGCTATAGGTGGAACCATCTATTGCCACGATAAATATTTGGTTGCTAGAGGTAGCCTCTCTATTGCAACACTAAACATTGTGGTTACTATAGGTGCATCCGTCTATTGCCACGGTAAATGTTTGGTTGCTAGAGGTTGCCTCTCTATTGCAACGATCAATACTGGTTGCTATTGTTGGACCCTCTATTGCCACGCTAACTATTGTGTTGCTATAGTTTGGAGACTCTATTGCAACGCCCACTATTCCGTTGGTATGATGTTTTTTTGCAACACCATTTGTTTGTTGCTATATCATATATTGCAACGCCAAATTATTTTGTCGATAGTCCATATTGCAACGCTTTGTTTGCTTCAAACAATAATTGCATGCCGAACAATATATGATGAAAGAAGCATTTAGACATCCATTAATCCAAAATATGCTTTGTTCGTACAACTCATTAATGAAACCACATCCAATGTCAAACTTAGTTGATAACACACGTACAACAACTGAAACACATAAGGTATCTGACGCACAGTAGCTACTTTGAACAGTTCAAAATGTAATAAGCTAGGTGTAGCACTGTAGCAAAGGTTGGCTTGACATTGACCATCCATCAGTTGTGCGCTCCACTCAAACTCTATCTTGCTCCTGAAACAATCATTAACATTGGTATATTCAACAAACAGAACCTTAGTATTCAGCTAAGTATCATTTTACTCTACAGTAACATGAACTAGCCAACTAAATCTGATAGTATAATGGCCATGCTAACGCAATGGATTTATCTTGGAGACGCACATAAAAACAACCAATATTTATTCATATTATATTTAATTAATTCCCAAATATAAAGAAATCTCTACTAATTGAGGACGTCTCACCTTCTGGCAGGACATTTGCATTGTTTGCCTTCTTAGGTTTATTATATTAAGGGATTGCCATAACCTCCTCGTCAACAAGCTTAATGTCTTCGTCTTTTTCTACATCAATTCTTTTTGGGACCTTGTCTTGGATCTGCACTTCATCTTCATCCATAATACTGATCTCTATTGTGCTCTATAGCCCCATTAAGCTACATCTAAAAACTGGCTCAGTTAACAATATCATTGGTGTTCATCCACGCCACTTTTTTCTTTGTCAATAAACCATAACTATATAAAACATGATATACATGTGTGCAAGATGTACTACAAAATAACCAGGCTTTGCTGCGGTGCATGGGTATATATGGAAGGAAAAAATGCATTCAAAAGTTAGATTAGCACATTAGGAAGTGGAAATTTTGTAGTAAGCAATAGGTACGTGCAAAGTAATTTACGGGAGGAAGATGTTAGAGGTCAAATAAAATTCAAAGGATGGTTTGTATAGGCCAAAACAATCAGGCCGATAGCAATTGCAGAGGTCAGAAGCACAACTGTTCATCGTAGAAGGCAAATACAAAATACACATACTACACATATATACATTTGGTCTATTCCTGGCACCACATTTTGTTGTAGGAAGCAAAGGCACGGAGCTAACTGGAGCAGTTTTTTCGCGAAGGACCATCACGAACAGAACCATGGTTTGGCATCTACAAACATATAGGAAAAGGAATGTAAGAAATGGACACAGTTCGGCTTTTTAATTTGAGGCATATAGTAAAAGCCCGTTAGCATAGTTTCATAAATATCAGTTAATGGTACCATGCATTTTTTTATGCAATCCTACTTCTGACTAAGTGAGCGGTATAATATGTATTGAGTGAAAATTGAAAACAAAATAAGACTTTTGAATGACGTTGGCTTTGAATGACTAAGACAATTCTTGACCTTTTTTGCGCATGCAAGTGGCGACAGCTAGATTTGTTAAATATCTTGCTGGTACAGACTATGGTGAGCTTATTTATATTTCCCTGTTGTGTTTTAGTGGTTGTACACTGAAAAGGGGAATGTCAAACCTAGCACTGATTTCTCTATTTATAGCATGGAGATGCTATTTTGCTGCATATATGTCTCAATTTCAGAGGAAGCCAATGCATTTAGAAAAATATATGTCCAAAACGGTACGCACATCATCATACCTGCTTGGTACCAATGGATGTCATGGAACAATGAGAAGGGATATGACACTCCATAGTGACCTCTGCAAATGGCAGATGGAACCTAATAGGTTTTCTGTTCGGTGATGCAATGCAGTTAACCTGCAAGAACATCGTTATCTAAACGTAGCTATAGAATCGGGATGTAGGCATAGAGTTTTCTGGAGTTATATGGAGGGCATAATTGAACTCATGGAATTATTCTAGCAAGTACATATCCCCAACTTCAAAAAAATCCAGAAGACATGTAATATTGTAAATACCTTAACTGATATCAGCAGAATGGAGATCAATGTACCTGTAGCTTATTAGGCAAATGAGGCAAACCTACAAAATAGAAGACAAATGAAAAATTTGAAGACAATTGAAAAAATTAATTGAACTGGAACTTGCACCAAAATGTGTTGCTCTATATATTTTAGTAGAACTGAAGGGCTAAGCTAATTGCTATTACTGAGCAATCAAAGAAACTGTGTGATCCCTAGTTATCTGTTTACAACATGGCAATCTTCATGATGAACGGATTTTGTTATTGAACGGTAAAAATAACATTTCAAAACTGCAGAAACGCATATTATTTTACATCCTAAATACAAACTTTGTTGTTGAAGAAGAGCTATGTCAAGCTCAGTGTGTCGAAGTCCATAGTAATGACTCAGGCAATCAAGATGGTCTGTTTTGTATGTATAGAATTGAGCTCAATAGTTACCAGTCATCGTCTTGGTCTCTTGGATGATGTGGTCCTGGTAATCTTGTAGAAGCAAATAGATTATGAGGCCCTACTGAAAATATCATACAAACAGGTAAGGTCTTTCATATGTAGTGATACAATATTATATGACAATAGCAACCATAGAAATTAGAACATGTAAATCAATGAAATTAATAAGCATATAAATATGAAGTGTAAGGAACAAATTTTAATGGTAACTATGGTAATAGGTGAGCAAAATTTTTGTGCTGAAATTGGATGGCTCCATAAATAGGGACATGCATATACGCAATCTGAAATTTGACATAAGCATAACCCAATGGAAGGCTGAAAATGTTGGAAACAACAGCATACATTTATCATGAGCATATCTATCAAGGGACCAAACCTTGGAGGGGTTGATCTGCATCCAGTTGTGTCAGCTGTAGAACAACTGGACCTGATAACAGATATATTTTAGCCATTGCTCTTTTCATCCCAACCTACAAAAGTTTATCATGAAAATTGGGTGCTGCTATGTATTTTGTCAGCATTAGAAGTTTAGAACTGTGCAAAAACAATGGTCACAGAAGAGGTATTCTTAGCGTATTGACATGGCACTCACAATCCAATCAATTAACTGGAAATCGAAGAGCTACTTCAGGATAGCCATAACACGCTTGTAAATCCAGTAATCAGATGAGAGACGAATAGAAATAGCCCAATAGCATAGGTTAGGGTTTCGGTGCTCTGGCTTCGTGCAGCAGTACGGCAAGGGAAGGGGTGGGCATACCTGGTGGGGCGCTCGTCGCCGAAGAAGGTCCCGTCGAGAGGGCCCGGGCAACCGGCGTGTGGTGGCGCGCTGCTCGGTGGCCGAGGCACCCAGCGGCCCTGCACGCGTCACCGGCGGCGAAGGCGAGCGTCCCGTGGGTGAGGTGCAGGCGTGGCGAGGTGGTTCAAGGAAGACGCAGGCGCGGCGCGTGATGGGGGGCCAATGACGACAGCGGCCGAGACAGCCGGCGGCCCTAGACGCGGCACCGGCGGTAGAGCCACGGTGCCAGAGCCGCTCGCCGTAGATCCGCCATGGCTGGACGCCCCATCATTCGCGGTGCATAAGATCCCCTCCACCGTCACCAGCTCCTCGCGCCTGCGCCCACCACTTGCTCCGTCGGTCACCAGTGCCATGTGCCGCAGCAGTGACTATGGCCAGAATCCAGATCCCGATCTGAAAAAGCACGTTAGGCGGAGGAGCGACGGTGCCGACTTGTGCCCGCGTGGAGGCGACGAGCAGGGAGGTGTGTGTGTCAAGCAGCGAGGGCCGAGGAGCAGTAGCGGCGGCGGCGTAGAGAAGAGAAAGGAGACAGGAAGATATCGGGCCCGTTCGCTTCTGCGAAAAAATAAGCAAAAACACTGCAGCGACTGGCGGTGTGAGAGAGAAATACTGTAGCGGCTGAAAGATACACTGTAGCAATGTGAGGAGAAACAGCCGGACCAGCCAGCCGAACGCCGCCATCAAGAGGGAGAGAGAGCGCTAGGCTTGGGCTAGGTCGAACCATCGAGTAACCTGCAAAACTCTGCTGGTAGATTGGCGCTCGTTTTAATTTTTTTCGGGTTAGAAGCGGGAGTTATCCCGTCTGTTTTTTTTTTCGACTCAAACAATTTATTTTTTTGCTATTATATATTGTTAAAAAATGTCAGCAACTAATAAAATATACTAAAATTTTAAAACATCAAATGGTTGAAGTTGATTTATACCTTAGCAGTTTGTGTGCTCTTCAAATATGTTTTATGATCGCAAGCACTTTTTTCTATTTTTAGCATGAAACTTTACCATACCCTTGATTCAATATTTGTTTGTGTAAATTATTCAATTTTCATTTGGTAACAATATGATCTTTTATAAATAAAGTGTATTTATGTCTATTTATTGGAATTATGTGAGTTGGACTACACGTGGTTCAAAACTAAAGTAATCCTAATGAAAGGCATAGATCTATTTAAATTCTAGATATTTATTTATATTATTTCCCAAAAAATAATTAATTTTACAATGAACAACCATATAAGATGAAGTGATATAAAATTTTTCAACTACAATGCTAGAATTAATAATCACTTAACACCTTAGTAGCAAGTAGATGTGTAATACTGCTTTGTTAAAATTATTTGAATTTTTTATGCAATAATTATATATCAAAATCATATTGTATATCACGATAGCTACAAAAATAGTAACATCTCTCACTTAATCATATTACATTTATTCTACGATAGTTCAATGAATAATTACAATAACAAGCAAACTTTGGGATAGTAAATGATTTCAATTGAAAACTTCAAATAGAATTTTAGGCCAATAAATGATTTAAATTGAATATTTTTTATTTTTCTCACGCCATGCTAAATTTGAATGTAAAAATATGAAAAACTTCAAATAGAATTTTGGAAAATAGTAAATAATTTCAAATGGTGAAGTCACCAACTATAAGTTTTTAGATCTCATCTAGATCTATAACTTTTATTTTGGTTATTTCTTCTTTCAAGATTGTGTGAACAATTCAAAAATTGAATTTCAAAATATAAGAACTTCAAATAAAATTTTGGAATAACAAATGATTTCAAATGGAAAAGTTGTCAACAAAAAAGTTGTGCAACTCATCGAGATGTATAACTTTTATTTTGGTCATTCCTTCATATCAATTTTTTTTATAATTCAAATTTTAAATTTCAAAATTTGAGAGCTTCGAACAGAATTTTGGGATACTAAATGATTTCAAATGAAAAGGTCATCAACAACAAAGTTGTAGAAATCATCGAGATCTACAACTTTTGTTTTGGTCATTTTTTCATCCAACCTTGTTTGAACAATTCAAAATGTATGTCTTGATTGCTCAAGTCATGGTTCCTATAACAAATAATATAAAACGCAAGACCTTTCACAAATATGCAAGTGGTTTAATAGTAGTGGAGGTGTTGTTATTCTCTTAGGAGTGAGATGCAGGTTCAAATCTTGGTTGTCACTCTATTTTTATTTTTCTTGTCATTTTTTCCACGCCATGCAAAATTTGAATTTCAAAATATAAAAACTTCAAATAGTATCTTGGGACACTAAATGATTTCAAATTGATTTTTCTTGTCATTTTTTCCATACCATGCTACATTTGCATTTTAAAATTTAAAACTTTAAATAGAATTTTGGGATAATAAATGATTTAAAATAGAAAAGCCATCGAGGTCTATAACTTTTATTTTAGTCATTTCTCTATTTGACTTTGTTTGAACAATTCAAAATTTAAATTTCAAAATATGAGAACTTCAAACAAAATTTTGGGACATTAAATGATTTTAAATGAAAAAGTTGTCAACAACATAGTTGGAGAACTCATCGAGATCTAGAACTTTTGTTTTTGTCATTTCTCCATCTAACGAGTAGGGCAATGATCAAGGTGGAAGGACGGAGTGTAACACCTCGGGTGTTTAAAATACTAAAACCTGACATGTCATCATATGCATTGCAAAACATTTGGCATTTGGTGAAAACTTTGAGATGCATACACTAAAAACAAGTTTATATTCATGTGGTATGTGTTGAATTATATTGTTTGACTTAAATTCAAAGTTTTTTTGGATTTTTGAATTTTTCGAGAAAACCCCGCTTTTCAGTATTTAAATCCTATCCTGAAAATCCATTTCAAAATCTAAGCATAATTTGGGGTTGATCCCAAAAGCAAAAGTGTAGAGCTTGGCAAGTTATACAAAGTTTGTTTTTGGAGTTTTTCAAGTTGTTTAGAAAAATTTTGAGTAATTCAAAAAGGCGTAATTCGTTAAATTTCCCTATTCAAATTCAAAAGTTCATTTCAAAATCTAGACCGAATTAGGAGATGGTTATAGAAGCAAAGTTGTAGAACTTTTGATTTTGAACAACTTTTGTTTTTGGAGATTTTTGAGTTGTTATGAAAATTTGAGAGTAATTTGTGAATTTTGGCGAATGGCAAACTTGTAATTACTGTGAACAGTGTCCACCGTCGAGACTACACCGCCGACGACCTTCTTCGGGCGTTCCAGGCGCGTCGTGGCCGTCCTTGGCGTCGCGCTGGCACAGAAACGGCTCCGTCGTGGCTTCCTTGAGCTTCTGAGTCGCGTTATAAGAACCGAGACGCCGTCGTCGTCGTTTTTCTTCCTCCTCTGCTTTTCCCGTCGCCACCACCGCAGCTCCGTCGAGCTCTCGCCGTCGACTTAGCGCCGTTGCCGTCTCGGCAAAGCCTGTCCCAGCTCCGCCTTAACCTTACGCGTCCAACCGACCCACCAATTCAGTTTATCTCCACCGGAAACTCGCTGTCCACGTCTTTCTTCTTCGCGGCCGGCAACTCCTCCGCCGAGCGCGATTCGCCGTGGCCAGAGCTCCACGGTGCATCTTCGTCCCTGGTTTTGGCTGATTCTGTTTCGTCTCGATGCTGTAGTACTTAATCCATAGCTGGTTGCTCATTTTGATCACTGCAGTCGCCGGTACACCATCGCCGACGACGTTTTGCTCCGCCGTGATCACCGTGATCGTTGTCACGCCTCTCCGTTGCTTCTCCGACCTCGCTCCTTGCTTCAACGCGTTCGGGGTGAGCCTCTGGTGCTTCCTGAATCCCTTGTTTGAGCTCTACCGGTCGCACACCGCCGGCGTAGCGCTGCCGTGCCACCGCGTCCGCCATGGTCGACGACGAGCTAGTATAGGGCCGTAATCAGTGCTGATAGGGACGTCAATCGATGCGCCTAGACTTGGTGATCATTTTGGTACGTTGGTCGTCGCCGGTGATCTCACCGTCGGCGAGAAATCGCCGGTCAAAGCCGTCGCTGCCGTGGTCAACCCTACCTTGTGTTTTACAAATTGATTTTGCTTTTGCTTTCCGTTACTGCATTAAGTGATTAGGAGTTAAGTAAGAGCCTAATTGGTGTATTACCATCCTTGTTATTTCATATTTACCATATTACCAGTTTTTAAACTCGTATATGCCTAGTTTTGCTTAGCTATGCGTAGAACGATGAAAGTCGGATGATTACCTACCACCTGCAAGTTTTAAATGGAACATTGGTTAATTATGTTAGCATGTGATATGAGAATGTGGAGTAATAAATCTAGACCGGGCGGACTCGGTGTGTGTGAGCCACAAGACATGGAGGTCTTGTGAGCGGGTTCTTTCCGCCTGTGTCGATTAAGGCACGTCCGTTGTTGAATTACATGAGGTGAGAATTTGTAGTACTAACCATATACTTCGGTAAGCCTGAACTTGGCGATTCTATTACGAGAATGGCTACTCGCGCACTGGGAGTGGAGAGATGGCGAGAATAGCGTGTACCCACGTGGCTATGGGATGGATTATTGGAGTACTGTATTCTCTGGTGGCGCGGACCCGTTCTTGTTTCAGAGGATCTGAGGATAGGTTGGTATATGTAGGTTGGGGACCTGCATATGTCGTGTGGTCTGGAATTCCCAGCTGGGTTTACAATCGGTTCGAATCGTCGTTGCTCCTCGGTTATGGAGACTCAACTCACTGTTCATCATCGTACTATTAATAACTGGAACTTGAGAATGGTTGATGAAGATGTTGGATATGAAGTTTCATGATCTCATTTCGGATCGTGTCATCTTTGTATATGAGTTTATGAAGTTTAAAGTGTTGAAATAAAGAATTTTGTTAAAGAGCTTTTACGCAAAATAACTTTGATTATTGCTAAAACCATACCTTGAATCCCTGAGCCTGCATTCTTGAGTTATCAATTTTTATTTCGGATAAGTCTTGTTGAGTACTTTTGTACTCAGGGTTCGTTGACCCTTGTTGCAGGTGAGTCTCATGAGCAGATCTGTTGTGGATCGTGCTGCATGACAGTTGTACCTTGTGATGACGATGAGAAGTAATTATGTGGCCCTTGGGCAGGGCAGCCTCATTGTGTGTTTTGTATTATATTATAATGCCGCTCCACTACTTTGATTTGTATTAATATCGAACTTAGTTGTATGGTTTGAAACAAATGGTTTGTAAACTATGTTATTGTAAGTCTTCCGCTATTTTTACTCTGATGTATTTATTTGAATAAACTGTTGTAATACTGCAATGACTCTGTAATGTGATCCTGCTCGAAAATCGTGGATGATTCGAGGTTTCCCGAGGACACCCGACAGTCTTCTTAAATTACCAGGAACATATGCATAGATGTCAAAGGTCGTTGGACAGTGACAGATGCATGTGGGTCCTATAATTTAGTAGGTTCTGCCACACGGAGCGTAGAGGCTGATGAATGGGCCCTTATGCTGGCATGGAGTGTCCTTGCATCATGGCGTGACGTGCGACTGGCAGCTGGACAACACCTGACTCTCATGAAAAGAAGAGGAGATGGGAAGACAAATCACGTATTTGCATGAACAAATCTCGTCAAAAGAAGGTGATTCTATAATAACTT